TTTTTTTTTTTTTAATCAGGCCTGCAAGCCTGGCAATCTTCTCTTCAGGACTTCTCCAATTCTATTCATCAGGGTTTTGTGAACATTCGTGACTCCATTTCTATTCTGACAACTTTCTCAGGCAGAAGAGCAGAGTGATTTCATACCACGTAGGAAGTTGTTTCTTAGTTGTATTTCTGCCTTTTAGGAGCAATGAAAATGAATTACTTCAGATTCCTTTTCCATGTGCCAGACATGAGATTTCCCAAGTCATATCTTCCTATCCAAACATCCTTGCATCTCCCATATTTCTTCTAAATACACAGCTTATGGCCTCTTCAACATTTGCTTTTGTATACTCTGATTTGTGAGACTAGAATTTTAAATAGGGTAACCCGCAATGCCATAAAATACATATAACAAAAGACACATCAAATATACAAGGTAAATGTGGGATTAAAATTTCCTGTAATTAAGGCTGGGTGTGGTGGCTCTCGACTGTAATCCCAGCACTTTGGTAGCCTGAGGCGGGTGGATCACACGAGGTTACGGGTTTGAGACCAGCCTGGCCAACATGGTGAAACCCCATCTCTACCAAAAATACAAAAATTAGCCTGGTGTGGTGGTGTGTGCCTATAGTCTCAGCTACTAGGGGGGCTGAGTCAGGAGAATTGCTTGAACCCGGGAGGCGGAGGTTGCAGTAAGCCGAGATCATGCCACTGTACTCCAGCCTGGGTGACAGACTGCTTCAAAAATTTCCTGTAATTAGGATCATTTACATCTCTTCTAGTCGTCCATTTTTTGGTTGTTTCTGTTGCCTTAAAAAAAAAAAAAAAAAAAAGACGGGCCAGGAGCCCTGGCTCATGCCTGTAATCCCAGCACTTTGGGAGGCCAAGGCAGATGCATCACCTAAGGTCAAGAGTCCAAGACCAGCCTGATCAACAAGGTGAAACCCTGTCTCTACTAAAAATACAAAAATTAGCTGGGCGTGGTGGCAGGCACCTGTAGTCCCAGCTACTCAGGAGGCTGAGACAGGAGAATTGCTTGAGCCCAGGAGCCAGAAGTTGCAGTGAACTGAGATTGTGCCACTGCACCCCCTAGGGGACAGAGTGAGACTCCGTCTCACAAAAAAAAAAAAAAAAAAAAAAAAAAAAAAGACTTCACCACACTGTTAGAGAAAATATTCACATGCTTTTGTGGTTGCCAGTGAAATTCCCAAACATTTTACATTAATCAGTTGAAAATATTATCCTGAGAAGATGATGGTTTGGCACCCAGCACCGTTTTGTGGCAGAATGGTGTCTTATTTAGTTGGTGATGCTAATGCGATGGGAATTCAAGAGCCCAGAGACATCCAACACTCGTCAATGTTCTTCTGTCTTTGTGGAGTCTATGAGATGTCATGCTGAGAAAAAACAAACAAACAAACAAACAAAAAAACCCACTGCCCACTCTGATCCTGTCTCTGATCAGAAAGTGAGAGCCTTCAATTTTCCAAACAGTTCAAAAGGCAGATGAGGGAGGAGGAGTACTCTTTCCCCACCCAACTGAGTGCTCAAATGGCATCAGGCTCATTCTCTAATCTGGAGGGTAGAGAGGAGGGAGGCTGGGTGGAGAAGGGCCAGGTGGCTCAGAAAACAAGATCCAAAATGAGAGCATCCTAAGCAGCCTCAGAAGCAACATGTTTTCCCTGACCTTCTCTGGCCCTCCTGTCTCTCGCCCCTCATTCTCCCATCTGGCCATAGAGACTAGGATCCTTCTTCCCCAAGGGGAGTCATGGAAACCAGAACCCAAAGCCAGCCATAACATCTAAAAAATATGACTCTAATTTTCTTTCTGCCTTTCTGTGTAAAACCCGGCCATGAAGAAATGATCTGACCTACCTTGTTAGACTGTAGATCTTAAGACCCTCACTCCAGAGAGGGTCCTGGATGGATGAAAGGAGGGAAGGAAGGAAGGAAGGAGCACTGCTCAGAGAGGCCACAAGAATCTACACAGACAGGCCTGGCTGGGTGTCCCCACTCAGGCTTTTCTCATTAGATCCGACCCTATTTGCCCAATTCTATTTCTGCACGGCTGTCCATACCTTGAGGAACCTAAGCATAAAAATGGACAATTTCCCTCATATCTTGGCCAGGCGTGGTGGCTCACGACTCTAATCCCAGCACTTTTGGAGGCTGAGGTGGGTGGATCACGAGGTCAGGAAATCGAGACCATCTTGGCTAACATGGTGAAACCCCATCTCTACTAAAAATACAAAAACTTAGTCAGGTGGGATGGCATGCGCCTGTAGTACAGCTACTTGGGAGGCTGAGGTAGGAGAATCACTTGAACCTGGGAGGCGGAGGTTGCAGTGAGTCAAGATCGCGCCACTGCACTCCAGCCTGGGTGATAGAGCGAGACTCCGTCTCCAAAAAAAAAACAAAATGATTTCCCCCATATCTTTAGGTTTGTGTAGACACAGTAAATAAATGTGTCTGCCTTTACTCCAATTGATTTGCCTTTTGCAACCTTTCCTTCCTTCCTTTCTTTTCTTTTCTCTTTTCTTTTCTTTTTCTTTTCTTTCAGACAGAGTCTCGCTCTGTTGCCGAGGCTGGAGTGCAGTGGCACGATATTGACTCACTATAGCCTCTGTCTCCTGGGTTCAAACAATTCTCCTGCCTCAGCCTCCTGACTAGCTGGGACTACAGGCATGCAGCACTATGCCAGGCTAATTTTTGTATTTTCAGTAGAGACGGGGTTTCACTATGTTGGCCAGGATGGCCTCCACCTCCTGACCTTGTGATCTGTCGGCCTCAGCCTCACAAAGTGCTGGGATTACAGGCATGAGCCACCACACCCAGCCTTTTGCAATTTTTCATCAAAATTTGAGAGGACCAAGGGTTCCTCTTGGCACCTACACCAGCCACCCTGTCTTGGGAAGTGGGGACGCTGGCACTGTAGCAGGACAAGCAGCAGACAAAACTCCTCAAACACCGAGTTAAAGAAGGAAGGGGTTTATTTGGCTTGGGGCATTGGCAAGACTTCTGTCTCAAGAGCCGGGCTCCCTGAGTGAGCAATTCCTGTCCCTTTTAAGGGCTCACTACTCTTAAGGGGGTGCATGTGAGAGGGTCGAGATTGATTGAGCAAGCAGGGGCTACGTGACTTTGGGATGCATGCACTGGTAATTAGATCAGAACAAAACAAGATAGGGATTTTCACAGTGCATTTCTATACAATGTCTGTAATCTATAGATAACAGAACCAATTAGGTCAGGGGTCGATCTTTAACTACCAGGCCCAGGGTGCGGCGCCGGGCTGTCTGCTGTGGATTTCATTTCTGCCTTTTAGTTTTGACTTCTTTTTTCTTTGGAGGCCGAAATTGGGCATAAGACAATATGAGGGGTGGTCTCCTCCCTTATTCCCCTCTTTTGAGACTCTCACTCATTTTATTAGTGGGAGTTCTCACTTTCATTTTTACTACCCATGTCTTCTTTCAAGACAGATCCATAGTGATTCATATAGCACATTTGTGCATTATGATGAACTAAGGTAGCAATGAAGCTTTTTATCATTCAAAGAAGTACAGGTAGCAAAGGGAGCAGTAAGTAGGCTCCTATTACTATTATAACTCTTATTAAAGAATTTTAAATCCTCCTAGTGCTGGGAGCCATTTTCTAAACATGGCCCAAGAGTAAAATCTATGCCACACTTGCACGGGCATGTGTGCCAGTTTTGTCATATCTCTAACCATGTCTTCAACTACTTGCCCTTGATTATCTGTGTGTAGGCAGCAATTAGTAAGATTAAATTTCCTACAGATCTCTCCTTCAGCTGCTAGCAAGTAGTTGAGAGCTAATCTATTTTGATAAATAGCATTTCTCATCTGAGTAGTCGAGAGCTAATCTATTTTGATTGATAGCATTTCTCCTCTGAGTTTCTTGCTGGGCCAGAATAGTCAAGGCTCTGCCGGTTTTATTAGTGATTATTTTTAAGACAGCTTGTAACCTTATGATTTGGTTGATCATGTAAATGGGGGTCCGGTATCCCCATGAGCCATCTTGTGCCTAAGTAGCAGGCCTATAATACTGTATGATTCTCTCAGGGGGCCATATATCTTTTTTTTTTTTTTTTTTTTCCAATTTCTTATAGCTATGCTTCTCTTTTCAAGGGAAGCATAGACAGGGAAGCTCAGGAGTTCGCCTGTTTTTATGGGCAGTAGGAAGAAAGGTGGTTTAATAGTGCCAATAACACAACTACCTACCCACTGGTCAGGTAATTTGGCATAAGCTCTATGCCCACGTATCCAATACAATCCAGTGGGGACTGTCCAGTCCTGGTGGGACCCCAGGTGGGTCCACACGGTTTGCAACTTTGGGAATTTGCTAACTGGATTTCTCTCTGTTTGATTTGAACTCCACCAAGTGACTGTTTCTGTGGTACCATTATACAGTTTCTGTCCCAGACAACTAAGACGTACTACAGGGTGAGTGAATTCTTTTCCTTCTCTAGCTATGCAATATTGTCCAATAATTGAGGTTTTAGGACCCAGAAATTATCAGGGTGATTCTTTTGAGCTGGGAATTAATCAGGAACTGGGTCTGTAGACACTAATTCTTGGGCTTCCCATGGTCATTGATCTCCTATTACAGTTCCTCCACATACATAACATGAAGTGACATTGAGAGACTGGGCTATATACTCAGCTAATTGAAAAAACAAATTTCTTGTTTTTCCTGGAATTTCTGGTACTGGTACATTTAGTTCATCATAGAAAGTTTGAAACACTGGTTCAGGAGAGCGTTTGTACACTTCTCCTCGAACCAAGATATTTACTCAAGGATCTAGTCTGGCCCCATCAATTCCTAAGGTCACACACTCCTCTTCTTTTCAGCAAGGATCAAAAGGATTTGTTGTTACTAGCTCTAAGGGGTTACATTGTCCCTTAATACAGAAAGGGCCATTTTTTCCTTTCTGAAGGTGGACTGGATCCTTTTCATCATTTTTTTTCTTTTATCAAAGTGGCCTAAATGACACAAGACCAGTATTTACATTTATTTCCACACAGTCCTAATTTATGACAGATGTACTTATTTTCTGCAATGTAGCCTCTTTTCTAACTAAGAGAACCACACCTTATTCCTAACTTATTACTATTAATGATAGCACAGGCATCAAATTTTAAGGTGACTTGTTAGGGCAACCTTTTTTTTTTTTTTCTGTTTTGGCTAACACTTTACTCATATCATTTATGAGCTCCCACCTGTCCTTAGTTCTTAATCTTATTTTGAGAACTGTGGTCATGGGAGACTCAGATGGGTCATAACACATATCAGGTTGGTCATTTCCTGGGCTACGTACCTTGTATAGAATAATATTATACAAACAAGTTCTTTTTAGAGTTCCAGTACACTTACAATAACCATAAAATAATAGGACTGTAGCAACCTTTTGTCCAACTCAGTGATTTGATGTATACACTGGGAACAGCCCTCAGTCTGAGGAAGGTCAGTTGAAGTCCTTACTGTACAAGTCCAAATTTTAAGGAAAATGAGTCCCACGATGAGTTTCCTCATGCTTCGGCCATGCATGGACTAGTCAGCTTCCAGGTGTGACTGGAGCAGGGCTTGTCGTCTTTTTCAGAGTCACTTTGCAGGGTTGGCGAAGCTGCTCCCATCCGTGTACAGCTCCCAGTCTACTGATGTTTAAGGATGGTCTTGGAGGTTGGGCCCACTAGAAAAAACTGAGTCCAATACTTATACACAGTTATGTTTAACTGGGCTCTCTGATACCAGGAGCAAGGTGGTGGGGTTTAGGGTGTTGCAAACTTCAATGGTTATGTGGGGATTTTCACAGAGCAAGCTTTGGTATCTAGTTAGTCTAGCATTTATTAGCTAATGGTGTCCTTTGGTATTTATTAAAATCACCACAGCACGGGGGGACTTTATGTTTAGGTTCTGCCTAAGAGTTAGCTTATCTGCTTCTTGTGCTAACAGGGCCTTTGCTGCCAGGGCCCTTGGACATGGTGGCCAGCCTTTGGAAACTCTGTCTAGTTGTTTTGAGAGATAGGCCACTGGCCTTGGCCAGGGCCCTACATTCTGGGTTAAAACTCCAACTGCCTTTTTTTTTTTTTTTTTTTTTTTTTTTTGACACATAGAGTTAAAGAGTTTTGTCAGGTCAGGTAGCCTCAGGTATGGGGCCGACCTGAGTTTTTCTTTTAATTCATGAAAAGCTCGTTGCTGTTGGTTGTAAATAGACGTAGTTTATCTAATCTACATTTTTATTAACTGTCACCTACTAAAATATTGACTCAAATCCTGCAGCTATTTTATTTCAAGCTTCAAATTGATCTGGTATTCCTCGTGGGACTCCAGTTGCGTCTAAATAAACATGAGAGTTGGAAGACCCATAAGGGTCTTTATGGTGTCTTATTATTATTTTTCCTTCTGGTTGATTAAATGCCAGGATGAAAGGGATAGCCAACTGGACTAAAGTACGAGTGCCACTTCAGTTATTCAGCAGAGTGCCTAGTAAAGGTCCACCACAATACCACCACACATCCGCTCAGGGATGAACAAGGGCTGACTGACTGATAAGCTCTTGAAAATTCTTAAGCTCACTGCATCCTTTCAAGTCTCCAAGGAATGCTAAGTTTCCTCCCTGTCATGAGAGACACGAAGTGAACTTAGTGTTGGGAGATGGAAGCTGGATGGCCTTCGGGGGCTGAACTGCAGGGTGCGGGACTTTGGGATATAGCAGAGAGTGAGCTGGGCATGACTTATTACTCCAGGCTGTAGAATCCTGGAAAAGAGCTACCATGCAGCCCACACCTGGTCGACTGGAGGACCACCTTAGTGGAAAGGGGACAATCTGGGCCTCTGGCCTGCCATGTGCACAAGCATAACAATTGCTTTTGTTTAATGTACAGATGGAATATTTGATCCATTTTAACCAGGTATTTGCATCTTGGTATCCTGTCTTAATTGCTAAAGTGTGTTTTAAGTCTTTAACTTCTATGATCCTCTAGTAAAATGAATGTATAGTTTTAGGGAAATTACAAAAACCGGTTGGGGCAGTCCATCCTTGCTCTTTAGTGGTCCACAGAATGTTGGCATGAAAGCTCTACATCAGGGGGCAACACTCCTGGTTGGTACTGGGGTCTTTATCGAAATCTCCCCAGATTAAATGGTCCTAGTTTACTAATGCCTAGTCTGAGGAGAGTCAGGAGGGACAGAAGTACTTTTCTGAAGTAGAAAGCTGTCTTTGAATTGGCAAGTCCTCACAGGGTATAACAAGGTAAGCATTAAATGCAATAGTTTGAGGTGAAATTGACTTGGTTATATTAATAACTAGATGGTCAGCAATAGAATGAGGAAAGAAGAAAGAATAATAGAACAGATTAAAAGAATTAAATTTTTCTTACCTTTAGTTTGGTAGGGTTTTCCCCTGGGACTATGGCCCATGACTCTGGAGGGGGTGGCACTTTCTTGACTCGGGTGTGATGAGTCCCTCCTTTTTTTGCTGTATGAACAGCACTCTTGCTGGTTAGCAGCACAAGGTAAGGTCCTTCCCAGGCTGGCTCAAGTTTTTCTTCTTTCCACCTTTCGATGAGAAAGTGATCTTCAGGCTGGTGCTGGTTTACTGGAAATTCTAGCGGTGGTACCTGTGCTAAAAGACTTTTAGTTTTTTTTTTGCGAGAAAGGAAAGTGGAAGATAAAACAAGTATATAATTTTTAAGAAATTGACCTTTTGTTTTAAATGTGGGGACCTTGGGAGTGGACTTTATAGTCCTTAGTGCCTTTTTACTGAGAAATTTCCTTAAGCACCTATTTTTATTAGTTTTTAAACCAAAGAAAGCCAAATACCATTTTACATTTAACAATGCTTCTCATATGATTTTTATACCAGATAAGCTAAATGTTATCTTTATATTAGTGTGCTATTAATGTTAAACCTAATTTTAATAAAACCTTGTAGATATATTTATTTAATTTTTAATGTTTGACCATAAGGTAAGATTTTATAGACTCTTTTTAATCTTTTATAATTTTTGCTAAAGAGCAGATTGGTGCTTTAAGAAAAACTTGTTATGCTTTTACTTTAATGTTTGGTTCACAGAAAAACTGGATGATACTTCTTTAACTTTAGCTAATATGTTTACACACAGAATGTTCTTTACAATTAACGTTTTAAACCTTGCTTAAACCTTCAAAACAGTAGTTTTTAACTTTTTAATGTAGGTAAAAATGTATATTCTTATGCCTCCTTATAATCCTTTTACCAAAGGTATGTTTTGCTTTTCTTATACACCTTGTACATAAACTGTTTTTTTGGTTTTTTTGTTTTGTTTTTCTTTTCAATAGTTTTACATTCAGGAGGCTTAGTTACTTTTAAATTACACATTTTTTGCATAAATTCTTTTTTAACACACTTTTTTTAATAACCTTTTTTTTTTTTTTTATGTCTATGGACTAGACTGTCTAAGGCCACAAGTTTAGAAGTTACTATAATACATGTTACACTGTTAACTTTTAGGAAACTTTACTTTTGTTGAAAACTTTGTAAGTTTGGGATTTTAATTATCTTTTGCTATTAATAAGACCTTGTTTTGTCCGAATTAGAATTGGTATAATGGCTTTTAAAGGAATAGGGTACACTTTTTTTTTCTCTTAACTAGTTGTATATCTCTCTCTTTCTTTCTTTCTCTCTTTGACTTTGTTTCTCTCTCTTTGACTTTTCTTTTGCCTCTGTCTCCTCTCTCTCTGCCTCTCTCTTTCTTTCTTTTCAGGGAGGAGACCACCCCTCATATTGTCTTATGCCCAATTTCTGCCTCCAAAGAAAGAAGAAGTCAAAACTAAACGGCAGAAATGAGATCCACAGGCAGACAGCAGGGCGCCACACCCTGGGCCTGGTTCTGTTATCTATAGATTACAGACATTGTATAGGAATACACTGTGAAAATCCCTGTCCTGTTTTGTTCTGATCCAATTACCGGTGCATGCATCCCCCAGTCACGTACCCCCTGCTTGCTCAATCAATCAAGACCCTCTCACTTGCACCCCCTTAGAGTTGTGAGCCCTTAAAAGGGACAGGAATTGCTCACTCAGGGAGCTTGGCTCTTGAGACTGAAGTCTTGCCAATGCCCCTGGCTGAATAAACCCCTTCATTCTGTAACTCGGTGCCTGAGGAGTTTTGTCTGCCTCTCCTCCTGCTACATTTCTTGGTTACCTGACCGGGAAGCGAGGTGAATGGTGGATGGTGGAGGCAGCTCCTTAGGCAGCTTAAGCCTGCCCTATGGAACATCCCTGCGGGGGACTCTGACCAGCCCCAGCGACGCGGATCCTGAGAGTGCTCCCAGGTAGGCATTTGTCCCGGTGGGACGCTTCGCCAAAGCAGTGTGTGGCAGGCCCCCGTGGAGGATCAAAGCAGTGGCTGAACACCGGGAAGGAATGGGCACTTGGAGTCTGGACATGTAAAACTTGGTAAGACTAGTCTTGGGAACTTGCCCACTCCATTTGAGTGGAAGCGTGGCCTGATCACCCACAGTGTGCCTTTATCGGCACTTTGGTTTTGGTTTTGACTTGCTTTGAATTGCTTGACAGGATTGGTCTTGGGAACTTGCCTACTCCATTTGAGTGGAAGCGTGGCCTGATCACCCATGGTGTGTGTTAGGCAGGGATCTAGACCCAACATGGCGGCGCCACCCAGTGTGGCAGGCCCTTTGCTTGAGACTTGCCTTCCTCTTTGAACACACCCGCAGACTTGCATATGTCAGAAGTTCCGGCTGGGCAACCACACTCCCCCATGACCTGCAGCTCACCTGCATTCCACAAGTTCATAAACAGCAGTTTCGGTTAACAGTTTCCAAAGACCCCTTCCTCATGACACTTACTCAACTCCTGCCCTAGTAGTTTCAAGACCCCCAGGCCCTATTTGCACAACCAGCTTCCCTGCCTCTCGGGCTATAAAAAGCCCCTATCCTACTCCCTCAGTGCTACTTCCTCGGCCCGCACCTTTGGACCAAGGAACCTCACCCGGGAGTCCTAATAAAGACTATTCTTAGTGCCATTTGCTTTGTGTCTTCATTCCCGGTTTGGCTCCAGCCTCAGTTTACCTTTATATTTGGTGCCGAAACCCGGGAGGAGACCCCCTCCCTGGACCCCTGCCGGGTCGGGCAGGCTCTCCTCTCCCCAAGCCAGGACCTCCTTTCCAAGCCGGGAGCCATTTCACCAAATCCAAGACTCAATTCAATCACTGCTGGATAAGTTTTCCCCCGTCCTGTAGGCCTCCTCTGGGAAGTCCCTGTCCGAAACACGTGGCCACATCAGGGGCTCCCTCCAGTCAACTGTGACCTTGGCACTGGGGACTAGGAGATGTCCAACCTTCCTGGAAGCCGCCATACCCCGCACTCCACGTGGCAGTAGGAGGATGCTCCCATTGCCTCCGGACTGCCCGCCTTAGGACCATGGGAAATACCCAGTCCAAACCAAACAGAAAATCCCCTCTGAGGTGCCTCTTGGCTAATTTCCAGACTTTAAGTCTCAGCCAAGACCTAAAACAAAAGTGGCTCATTTTCTTCTGCACAGTAGCATGGCCACAGTATAAATTGGATAATCAGTCTCCGTGGCCTGCAGAAGGCACTCCAGACTTTAACATCCTCACAGATCTGACCAACTTCTGCAAGAGACTAGGCAAATGGTACAAGATACCCTATGTTCAAGCCTTTTGGGACTTGCGTTCTTGCCCAGATCTCTACGCCCAATGCTCGTTAGCTCAGGTTCTACTCGCAAAGTGTCTTCCCTCGAGAAGGAGAGGGATGATTCCTCCTCTTTTTCTGAGCCTCCTGACACCCTATCCCGGCCACCCCTCCTGTCTCCCGCCCAACCTCCTCCTTACCCTGACCCACCATTATCCCTGTCCTTGTCAATGCCTCCCCTCCCTCCCACCCCTCATGTGCCCTTACCAACCCGACAGATTCTGTCTCCCCTACCTCCACCTCCTCCCCTTCCTCACCTGTCTCAGCCCATACTTGGTCCAGGACCGACCTCCTGTGTCCCTTGCGAGAGGTGGCAGGCGCTGAAGGAGTAGTCTGGGTCCATGTGCTGTTTTCATTGGCAGATTTGTCTAAGGTTGAGGAGCATGCAGGCTCCTTTTTGGCCAATCCTACTCGTTATATCAAAGAGTTCAGGTATCTATGCCAGGCATATGATCTCACCTGGCATGACCTCCATGTTGTTATGACCTCAACACTGTCCCCTGAGGAACGGGAGTGTATCGTAGCGGCAGCCAGGCAGCACACTGACCAGGTTCATTTAACTGACCACGCCATGCCAGTTGGCACTGAGGCGGTGTCCTCAGCCAAGCCCAACTAGGACTAGCATGTTCATCAGGCAGGCCGCCGCAGCCGAGATATGATGGTCCAGTGCCTTCTTGCTGGCATGTAGGCAGCCTTCAATAAGTCAGTCAATTTTAATAAGTTAAAGGAGGTAGTCTAAGGCTCAGATGAAAATCCAGCTGTTTTTTCTTAACCGACTGACAGAGTCACTTATTCAGTACACCTGCCTTGACCCTGCCTCCCCTGCAGGAGGAGCCATCTTAGCTTCATACTTTATTTCTCAGTCCGCCCCCAGTATCCAAAAAAGTTAAAAAACGTGGAGGACGGCCCTCAAACTCCCATCCTGGACTTAGTCAAACTGGCCTTCAAGGTCTACAACTCCAGGGAGGAGGCAGCTGAGGCCCAACGACAGGCCAGGCTAAAACAGAAGGTACAACTCCAAACCCAGGCCTTGGTAGCAGCCCTGAGGCTGGCCCGCTCCAGGAGCTCCCAGAAAAGATGTACTGCCCGAGCGCCACCTGGTGCCTGCTTCAAGTGCGGAAACGACGGCCAATGGGCCAGGCAGTGCCCTAACCCAAAGGAGCCAACTCGCCCCATCCGAACTGTTGGCAGATGGGCCACTGGAAGTCAGACTGCCCCGACCTAAGGACGGTCACTGCGCCTCCACGTGACGACCCTCCTCCAGGTATTGGAGGTGCCTCCAGCTCCTCCACACTGACAAAGATTGAAGAGGCCCAGACTCAGGGACCCCTCTCACTCTCGCCGAGCCCAGGGTTATGCTCCAGGTAGCGGGTAAGTCCATATCCTTCCTTAGGGACATGGAGGCTACCTACTCTGTTTTGCCTTCCTTCAGTGGCCCCAGCCACCCTTCCACTGTCACAGTCATGGGAATTGACGGCACTCCCTCCACCTACCGCCAGACTCCTCCTCTGTCTTGCCCCTTGGATGGCTCCCTCTTCTTGCACTCATTTCTTATCATTCCTTCATGCCCAGTCCCCTTGTTGGGATGAGATCTCCTCTCCAAGCTAGGGGACTCAGCTCACTTCCGACCCAACCCCTCCCCACACCTCACGTTCCTCTTCCCCCTCCTCTCACCTGACGAACCCTGCCAGGCTGACCCCCTACTCCCGTTTCCAGTCCCCATTAACCCTGAGGTGTGGGACACCTCCACCCCGATCATTGCCCAGCACCACACTCTGGTCCTCATCCGGCTAAAAGACCCTTCCAAGTTCCCCTCTAGACCCCAGTTCCCTATCTCCCTTGAACACTGACAAGGACTAAAACCCATCATTACATGCCTGCTCCGGCAGCACATTCTAG